AGATACGAGACTGTCCCTCGTCCAGCGTATTTCTCAAAGCTGGCCTATACATACCACCATCTGTTCAAGAATCTAGCACGTTTCATCAGTGGTAGGGAATTCGACAATCAAGACGCCCTTGAAAAGGCCTTCAAAAGTTTCATTGGCTCCAGAAGCCGGGGTTTCTAAGCTACAGACATAAAAAGTTTTTTGGCACATTGTAATGAGCGTGTTAAAGCAAATGATAACTATTTTGATTATACAGATCGCTGTTATTACGATAAATTTTGCCGAAAAAGTAAATTTTTCAAAGAGGGTCATTATTTGTTGGACAACCTAATATAAACTTCAACGTGCCACGGAAGTGAAGCAATAAATAAACTTGACCATCAGACACTGCCATTATCCGCCCAAACCACAAAAGAACTAAATCTTGACATCACAGTGCAAATAAACGGCAAAGTTCCAAACATTAACCGAAAAAATCTCCGGAGAGATTTTTGCAAATTGCCCTTTTTTCGACAGCGTGCTGCCCAAAAGATAAGGGAGATTACGCAGTTCTCGTTTTTATTAAGACAGTTTATCCATCCGTTCCGGCCCTCGGGGGAGAACACAAAGGCTTTGGAGCGTGTAAAAGACTGTGGGTTCAAATGTCAAATTTTCCGACGGTGACGGGGATAAAAATAGAGCAAAATGATGGCAAGAAAAGGTGAAGAGGCTTTTTTTAAGGAGAAATATTGGCAAGGAGGGCTCAAATTTTAGGGCCTAGCTTTTGATAAAGCCTGGGGAAAATTTTGATACCAATTTTCTTTGAAAAATCCGAGATAAAACAAAGATTTTCAGCTCGCGGTTTCAGAAATTACCGAGATTTTGAGGCCGAAACTTGACTAAATTTCAGCGATTTTATCCTTGAAAAAAATAAGTTTTACTTCGAATGGAGTGGACATCATTTCTACAAAAGATCAACCTTTTCGGCTCTAAATTGGAAGAGATACGGTCAAAAAGCACTTTTCCCTCTGTTCACGCTCCGCATTTTGCATACTCTCTCGCCGATAAAAGCCGGGGAAAATCTCTTCTGCATTTGCAAAGCGTGAGCTAAAATTTTGAAGAAATTGATTTAGGACTAAGCCTAACACACAAGGAAATTTTTATGAAGATACGATTATCCTACGTCGAGTAGTAACGCTGTAAAATTACGTAGGACTCCCAAAAAACCTCATACAACAAGTTAGGAAAAGAACGAATAATCCAAGAAGACAATAATCTCTGCAAAAGAATTTGAAGGAAATTTATGATGCCATTGGGTATCAGCAAGGGAACTGCATGATGGATTTATTCACTCGATTCTATTTCCGACCTCTTTGATATTCCATATTAATCATCCAAGCGTTTCATAAAAGCGGACGTCATCATGGTATGATCTATATTTATATATCACCGCTTTTGTATGACCTAGCAAGGAGCTGGAATGAAGACAAATTTAAAAGATTTTACTCGAAGATCGACGCTCAAATTTCGTTAAATTTTTTGCACATTTTGTGCATGGGACACTCATCCATTCCTGAAAATATTACCTTCGCATTTGGAGAGCTTCCCCTAACCAAAGAAACAAGCTATCGCTCTGCCGGGGAAATACTGTGGAGTTATTGTGCTTTGGAATTGACAATCATCGTGTTGCAACGGTTGGGAATTTGGTGCGCGACTGCAAAGAGACGACATGTCGCGACGATTTTTTCTGCCACGAGTCAATATTATTTTTCCGGCGGACTGATACAGTAAAACCTCTGTACGAATCGAAAAAACCAAAAAATTTTTTTCATTATTAAACAGTTACGTTGTATAGAGACTTATTTTTGCCTAGGACTCATGGGGCCTCTAAAATTGTTTGTTCTTTACATGGGTTTTAGTCCGGGAATCTTGCTACATATACCAATGGTCCACTGTACATATATATAAGCCCAATTTCTTTATCGACACCTCACATACAGTATGACAAAGTATAACAAACTGAATGGACATAACCATAAAACACTTTCCCGACCTTTCCGTTCGTCCCCAAACTTTACGCAACCCAAAAACGCAATTTCCCCCCAGCACAACCCTCGCCTCTCATCCATTCCGTCATCGGAACGGACTTTTCACCCGTGCCCCCAACATTTTTAGATAGTTTTTATCCCTCTCTACATTCGGCTGCAACGTCCCCCGAGGATTTTACATTCAAATTCACTGGAAATTGAATGTGTTCGCTACGCCGACTACTAATGCCTTTTTTTTCAGCCCCGCCGCTGTAACCCATTTAAGCTGGGAGTTTGCTTTTTTCGGGAATTTTTGTTTGCAATCTGCCGAAGACAAAAGAAGGTCCATAATTTTTGGGGAGCGGGTCGAGGAAGGCATGTCAACAGAGGGGCCGGTAAACACGTCAGTGGGGGTGGAGGGAAAATAAAAATAGTAAAGTAAGAATGAAAAACATACGTTGGAATTAAAATAGCCCCGGAATGATGAGCAGTGAATGGCAAAATACGATATTTTTACATGAAAACAGGGCAAATTACCAATTTTTTGACAAAAATAGTAGGGTTTTTTGTTGACAAAACATGGCTTAAATTAAGGTCGGAGTTTTGTGAGATAGAAGCAAAAATTTTAACTCATTTTTGATTACAAAATAGTGAGATTTTTAGGGCAATGGCCTCATGAAAATTTACAGTAATTTGCACATAGAAAGTTGGGAAATTATCACTCTATTTTACTGGTGTTCTGCTTCGCAATGATGTCGCCAAACACGTCGATTTTTTTTACCACAAATGGTAGCCAAACATGCGAAAAAATTTCCAACTTTTCTTCTCAAAATTTGCCATTTTTCGACCTAAAAATCCCGGTTGTTTCTGCAAAGCGCGAAATAAAAATCTAGCCATAGAAATTTCCAACCTTATTTTTGATCGACATCCCAGAAAATTCTTACTCTTGAAACTTCCAGAGCCTCAAAATATTGTTCTTTTCCCCTCTCCACACATAAAAAATCAAAAAAAAATCAAAAATGAAATATTTTTTCAATATTAAAAACATGACATATGAGCAATCCCCGTTGACTGGAACATAGACAAGCATGAATATGCGATGAGATGAACGTGTCGCATTCCCGAAAATCAAAAACAGAACAGAGTATTATCACATAAATCAACTTCCCCGGTGCATTTCTCATCCCAGGAGACGGATTAGGGATGGGGAAGACGGTCCGAAGGTCAGCCCTCTTTCGCGTTGGGCAATTTGAGGTGGTAAACAACGTTATGAGGAAGTAATTATGGCCAGTTAGCAGGGCAGGCAAATTCGCAAAATTTCATAAATACGTTTGCGGTAAATAGGGAAAATGGAAAAAATACGACTAATTAGGGAAAGGGGAATTTTTTAACTTTTGTACATATACATGTTGTGCATAGGCTACATATCAATTTCTGAAAGTTTTAACTCGCGCTTTGCAGGAGCAGCTGAGATATTGAAAGATTTTTTTCCATCCAAGAGAGTACGGGAAATGCGGAGGTCCGAGAGAAAAGCCAATTTTTTGACCATATCTTTGCCAGCTTCGCACGGAAAAAATTGATTTTGTGTTGAAACATTGCTCTTTACAGTAGAAATAGCTACGAAACTTTTCATGCCATTTTTCAAAGAAATTTGCAAAAAAATTTTAGCTGGCGCTTTGCAAAAACAACTGTAATTTTTAGGCCGAGACTTGGCCAAAATTTAGTAAATGTAATATGTATGCTGTCCGTAAGTACACAGGCTAAAATTTTCATACTTTAATTTGCAGCTGAGACTTAACATGTAAGCAAAATTTTAGCGAATTCTGAGCCATGCAATTTTTGGCACTTCGTTGCCATAAAGGCAAAAAAACATTTTAAAAAAAGTCTTTCCAACCAAAAAATACGAGCTATATTTCCACGGAAAAATTCTGGATCCCATAAATATAATATCAAACCCAAATTCAAGCCCCCAATAACTCAAAAAAAAGCATATTAACCCCTGCCATATGTCAGCATACACTCAAATAAAGTTCGCGGATTTTTATGTGTTTGATGGGCTTGAAACGTTTTTCGCCTCGGGCCATCACTCAAAACATCTCCGAAACGAAATAAAAAATAATTTTCGGGCCACGGAGTTTCGAACCCGGCCGAACTCTGAGATGCCGAACTTTTTTCGCCCCCATTGATTGGGACAGAGTCACGTCAAACGAGAATTTTTCCTTTCTTTATGGCCAATTTGCAATTTGGCCGGTGATTAGAGTTGCAGAGGATCAAAGTTCGCAGAGAGAGAGACTGTATTTTTAAAACAAAAAAATTAAGGTCCAAAGTTTTGTGTGTAATTACAGTTTTCAAAGAAAAAATTACAGCGTTTTAATCAGTCTGTCGGGAAAATAATGAGCACAATTCGCTGTGCCGATCACTTTGCTCATGTGTAAAGCAATTCGGTTTTGTCGCGACACAATTATTTTTTTTTGCGATTTTCGATGCGACAGGTGCTCATTATTTTCCCGACAAAATGTACAACGTATTGCAGGAGAGTAAAAATGAATCAATTTTTGAAAATTTTAACCTGCGTGTCGCAAGCCCAGCCTAAATTTTAGCGTTCTTTTTTAAAACTGGACAAGATCATGCCAGATCAGGAGACGCGGCCAGAGGAGAATTTTTTCAATGTAATTGATTTACAGAAAAAAGCAATTTTTTTCTTTGTTTGCGATACGAAACAGTCTCTGTTCTTTGTCATGTACTTTTAAAAATCTTCTTTTTACAAAGCTGTCTAATCATGCTGATAAAAATTAATTCAATTCTGGCCCAGGGTGTCTATAAAATTCTCTCGCCAAATAGCCAATTTGCTAATTTATTATTCAAAAAAAAAGAAATCACAAAATTAATTAAATTCGAATGATTGACGAAAATTTGTAACTTTACATCATGTTGATGACATTGATTTTTCTAATTTTTCTTTTCACTCCCATCAAATCCGATCTTTATGATGACAAAATCGCTTTCATGGAGAGTATCATCGATAATTCGGCCCATCCTTGCAACGATTTTTGGCAATTTTCGGGAGGCAAGAACAAGAGTAAATTTTTGGAAGAGCAAGAAGCCTTCAGGATCATTGATCTAATGACGGACGATTTGGATAATCATGTACGGTGGATTGAGAATCTTCGTTTTTCATTTTACAGTGACCTGATACAGTGGCAAAACACCTGCCATTTTGCATCCGGGAAGTATCAAAAAATGTTGTAAAATGTCTCCCTCTCCAAGTACAGGGAGCGGCAATTTTCCGGTCGGATTTGAGCTATAACATTTTTAGCTTTTATTCAAATGTTAAAATGTGGCAAAATGCCTCCCTCCCAACTAAAGAATTCCGTTTTGAAGGGCGCGCCCTTCCCTTACAAAAAGAGGGGTTTTGAACGTTGATTCTTTTCACTTGGAGAGGGAGGTATTTTTCTTCATTTTTTGATACTTCCCGGATGCAAAATGGTACGTTTTTTCCACTGGATCAGATCCGCCACTGTATCAGTCAAGAGACTTTCTTTATATGCCCATTAACGGACCGATCTCGGTCTTCTGGCCTCACTAAAGCCTGGCAATCTTTGGAAGTTTTTCTGACTTGTCCATTTCAGCTCGAGGCAGTGCGAGGTGTCCGTGATGTCTATCAGAAGTGTGTCAATGGCCAGCTCAAGTTCCCCGAGTATACGTTGGCGGAGAAAGCCAAATTTGCAGCCGCATCACTAGAAGACTTAAATTTTCCGATTCAAAAAGACGACGATGTTGTCAAAGACGAAGCCAAATTTCACACCGCTGTAGCGCGACTTTACAACGTTCTGCTTAAAATCGGTTCCTATGTCATTGAGGAGACGGAGATGAATTCGCACGGGGGTATTTGGAAGTTTGCAATGCCCTATCCAACGTTCTTTCATCGGAAGGAGATTTGGTATGCTTCCAGCTTATCCTTATTGTTCTGTAATATGTAATTGTAAAAAACTCTTTTGTAGGGAGGCTTATTGTGCAATTACAAAATGCAGGACATCCGAACTACCCCCTGAAAACACGTTCAAATTTAAGCACGGTTATGCGAGAGACCCTCAAGAGTTTGCCGACAAAGTCTTCTTCCAGGGGGTTAATATTACAGGCATGCAGATCTTGACCCCATTCTACGAGGGTGACGAAGCTTCCAAGGTACGGATAGTATCTTCTCGATTTAGAGATAAAGCCAGCTTCAATACAGCAACACTTTTCAATAACGATCAATAACAACCATATAGTTATCGACCGAGATTTTTCAGCCAGCAGCGTATGCCGCATTCCTCAACGAACTTCTGGAGACCGTCATGTTCGAGGAAGGCTACAAACTGCCCACTTGTGAAAAGTTTATCGCCGAGAGCTTCCCATTAGTCCTGAACAAATTAATTGTGGACACAATAAAACAAAATATGACCGTCTACAACCAGTGGAAAGAGCAGTTCTTTACATATACCGCGCTCATTCTAAACGAAGCCAAATCGTTTGTTGCAACGAGCAATGTCATCGAAAATACCGAGGAAATAATGGGTGGGATGCTGGGGATTTTGGAGCGAAACCGATTCGCATTCTTTGATCAGCAGCGAGCTCTTAGCGATGAGGCATTTCGAGGAATGGCATTGGACATGGATCATCCCAGATCTTCTCGATTCAGCAACAATTTGGTACCATTGGTGGCTGAGGATTCAATTTTCGACCACAAAGGGCAAAGATACATTCCGAAAACGGGGGTAAATTGGGTGTGGAGTGTTAGAAATTATATTTTTTGCCCTTTCAGACCCGCGCCTTCCACACTTACCCCTCTCAGATCAATTTCTACGACCTCGGCTACTTTCTATTTCCTCTGTTTGATCCGTCTTTCCCCGCAGTGCTCGCCTTGTCTTCAATGGGCGCCATGATTGGTCACGAAATCGCTCATACTTTCAGTAAGTGTATCGAGAAAATTTTGAGCGAAAAATTTTAGTTCGTATGACAAAGTTCAGCAAAGCTTTTCAAGACAACAGGGAATGTTTGCTCAAGTTGTATGCGAATAAATGTAAGCCAGGCGATCCAAGTGTCTGTGTGGATCCGGTGCATACTTACAACGAGAATGTCGCTGATCAACTGGGTGAGTGATAGTCAACAAAGAATTTTTAATATACAGTCAATTTACGGCTATAACTCTATTTTTTCGCCGTTATAATCATTTCCATGGAGTATCTTATATAATATTTTACACCTTGTTTAGGCACCATCTGGGCGTTCTCCGCGTTCAAGCGTCTAGAATCCCGTCAGGACTCTGGGAAATTCCCGAAAACTCCGGCCTTGGGAAAGTTGACAAATGATCAGATATTCTTCCTCAACTTTGCCCAAACATTCCACTTTTTCGACGACTGGGAAAACTACGATTCAAATTTTGATCACGCCCCAGGATCAGTCAGAGTTTGGGGCGCGTTGGCCAACATGCCAGCCTTTGCTAATGCTTTTGAATGCCCGGGAAAATCGGTGTATAATCCCGAGTTTCGTTGCCCAATGTTTGTTTCTGATACCGTAATTGATAGAGATCTGGTTCAATCGGCGAATTGATAATAAATTTGGCTATTGTGGAAGTAATGTAGAATGAAGTTTCATACAAACGAAGTCTGCCTATAATTCATTACTTTTTAGGTTTCCAAGTGTCAGTTTGTAGGCCATTAAAAGTCGTATTTTAATTGCAGTCAAAGTAAAATAAATTTCTGAACATCAAATTGGAAGACACCAGAGAGAAAAATCTTCGTTAAAAAAGTTTTATACAGATTTTTTTGGGTGTAAAGTCAACTTATAACAGCCGTCAAATTGTTCGTTATATACAGATTTTGTTGTATGTAACTTCGCTTTACAGAGGCTCCATTAAATGCAGACAAAATTAATTAAAAACATATTAACCAATTACAATAAATTATACGAAATAAATTTGACAGTCTGCTAATTTACTATTCAAAAAAAACAAATCACAAAATTAATTAACTTCAAATTATTGACCTCATTTTATAACTTGATCTCATGTTGATGACATTGATTTTTCTTGTTTTATTTTTCACAGCCATCAATGCCGATGTGTATGATGACAAAATCGCTTTTATGGAGAGCATTATCGACAACACGGCCCATCCTTGCAACGATTTTTGGCAATATGCCGGAGGCAAGAACAAGAGTAAATTTTTGGAAGAACAAGAAGCTTTCATGATCATCGATTTAATGACCGACGATTCTGTGGATAGTTATGTATGTAGCAGATTGAACCTAGACGATTTGTCTGCAGTGACGAACCTGATCCAGTGGCAAGAAACGTACCATTTTGCATCCGGAAGTATCACAAAATGTGGCCAAGTGTCTCCCGCTTTAAATAAAAAACTCCATTTTGAAGGCCCTTCCCGCACAAAAAGACTGGGCGCTTTTGAAACTGGAGTATTTCCATTGAAGAGGGAGGTATTTTGCCGCATTTTGGATACTTCCCGAATGCAAAATGGGACGTTTTTTGCCACTGGATCAGGTCCGCCTTAGTAGGATCGAACTTACTCAAAGACTAGAGGCTAGTCTTTGGAGGGCGACTTGTGATTTTCTCAAAATCTTGCAGACGAGCTGTACTACTGTACACCACTTTTTGAAGATTTTAGCTCGCGCTATGCAAAGACAGCCGACGAAATCCACGGTTTTTGCCGATGCGAAACCACTCTAAAAATTTGAACAAAATCTGAGGGTTGCGCTTCGACCACTGCCCTTGTTTATATTCAGCCTCTATACTCTTCAAAACCGCCTCAATCTCATCCATTATATTTCAGCTTCAATCAGTGCGAGATATCCGTACTGTCTACCAAAAATGTGCTAATGGCGAGATCAAATTCCCCGAGTATTCTTTGGCCGAGAAAGCCCAATTTGCAGCCTCTCGCCTCAAAGACTTGAATTTTCCGATTCAAAAAGACGACGATGTTGTCAAAGACGAAGCCAAATTTCACACCGCTGTAGCGCGACTATACGGCGCTCTATTTGAAATCGGCTCTTATGTGATCGAGTCGATGGAAATGACCTCGCATGGAGGAGCGTGGAAATTCGTGCGTCCTCATCCAACCTATTATCGCCGAAGGGAAATTTGGTGAGTGGATTTTGTATTACGATTGGTCGAGAGTAGAGGAAAAAAGGCCTCAAAATTAGACAATATTCGGCGCAATTTTTGGCTATGATTTGATCACTTTAGGGACGCGTATTGTGCTGTTGCGACATGCAGAACGTCAACACTACCTCGAAAAAACACTTTCAAATTTCAATACAGTTTTGCGAAGGACCCCCAATCGTTCGCCAACACAGCCTTTGGGACCGAAATCAACATTTCCGACTTGAAAATTCTCACGCCCTTCTATGCCGGTGGTGATGAGGCTTTGAGGGTAAGTTGGACTTGAATTTGAGAAAATTTATGGGCCAAAAGTCGTCAATTTTTCTATGTCTAATCTCCGGATTTTTCGTGGTCTCTCGTTTCCAAAAAATGGTGAATATCTCTACTGTATTATTAAAGTTTCTGCTAAAATTTTGGTGAATTGACATGCGACATGGGTCCAATTAATAGCAAAAACTTGAAGATTATATAAGAAAACATTTTTTTTATTTTTTTTTCTCTCTCCGCTCTCCACATTTTGAACAGTCTTTTAATAATTTTTTGAAAATCTCCCCCCCCTCCCCCACTCTTTCAAAAAGATTACAAAAAAACTTTTAACTTTTTTTCCAGCCAATCGCCTACGCCGCTTTTCTCAACGAACTCCTGGAGACAGTAATGTTTGAGGAGAACTACCAATTCACAACTTGTGAGAAATTGATCTCCGACAGTTTCCCATTGCATCTGAACAAATTGATTTTGGACAAGATGAAGAAAAATAGGACCGTCTACAACCAATGGAAAGAGCAGTTCTTCACGTACACTGTCCTCATTCTAAACGAAGCCAAATCGTTTGTCGCAACGAGCAATGTCATCGAGAATACGGACAATGTAATGGGGGAGATGCTGAGGATCTTGGAGCAAAATAGATTCGCATTCTTTGATCAGAATCTCTTCTCTGACGATCTGTTCGAGGGGGTAACGAATGAAATGGAATTGGACCATCCCCGGTCCTCGCGGTTCGTCAACAATTTGAGGGTGCTGCTGAAATACGACAAGCTTTATGAGCACAAAAGTCAAAGGTTTATGGCGAAGACGGGGGTAAGTTTAGTTGAAGGGGAATAGAGTCAAAAGTTGATTTTTTTGTGATGAATACCATGAAAGAAATGATCAACTTTTGACTCGCAAATTTTGATGATGTTTGGGGCAAAGGTGGAAGAGAGTTTTATACAGCGTTTGCTACATTTTTTAGTATTAATAAGCAGTCAATATATGTACATATGTATGTACTTATGTTTATCAAAAACCTAAGGCAAGGTTCCGAATATTACTGTATGCAAAATCAATGGAGTACAGCCTCATATAAGATACATCCAAGATTACTATGTGATTGCCAGAAGCAAAAAAATTTCTCGGCTCTCCATCATAAGGATTGCCTAAAATTTTTACATCATGACAATTGAACATCGTACAGTGGCGGACCTGATCCAGTGGCAAAAACATACCATTTTGCACTCACTGTGTAGACCAATTCAAGAAGACTTTCACCTGCATCTTGGCAAATTTCGCTTGGAAAAAATATCAAAAATCTTTAAATTCCTCTTGCTGTAATAGTATCTACCTCAAAATTTTACCCTGGGATTGCAATACAAACTCAATTTCATCCATTTTTTGCCCTAAAAACCCCGATTTCCGCAAAGCGCTAGCGACAAACCTCATCGGCGCCTTCAAAAACTCCAATTTCAATCTGCGCCAACTGTAAAAAAATCATTTCAAATTAATTTCCGAACACTCATTCCAATTTCCAGACCCAATCCGCTCATCTCTTCCCGTCTATGGCCAATTTCTACGACTTTGGATACTTTTTATTCCCCCTCTTTGATCCGTCCTTCCCAGCGGTCCTGGCGTTGTCTTCAATGGGCACAATGGTTGGTCATGAAATTGCACATACCTTCAGTAAGTACATACATACATAGTATCCCAATTTGAAATTTAAAAAAGTTCAGTTCGAATGACAGAGAAGAGCGAAGCATTTTCCGAAAACCGACGATGCTTGCTCAAATTGTATGCAGATAAATGCAAACCGGGCGATCCAAATATCTGTGTGGACCCAATGCACACTTACAATGAGAATTTCGCGGATCAACTGGGTAAATTGAAAATTAAAATTTGATTTAATCTTATAGGAGAGTAAGATTTTTCTAAATTTTTGCAAAAAATAAATCGGAAAAGTCACTCCCAGCACTTCCCTACTAAATTTTATCGTTAATACTCTTGATGAATTTCATATATATATACAATTTTCAGGTACCCTCTGGGCCTACACCGCTTTCAAACGCCTAGAGTCCCGTCAAAACTCCGGCGAATTCCCGAAAACTCCGGCATTGGGAAAGCTGACAAATGATCAGATATTCTTCCTCAACTTTGCCCAAACATTCCATTTTTTCGATGACTGGGAAAATTATGATCCCAATTTTTTTCACGCTCCAGCATCTGTCAGGATTTGGGCCGCCTTGGCCAATCTACCGGCCTTTGCCAATGCCTTCGAATGCCCAGGAAAATCGGTGTATAATCCCGACTTTCGATGCCCAATGTTTGTCGTGGAGACAGTGCCAGACAAAAGATTGAATCAACCAGTGGATTAACTATTTTTTGAAAAATAAAAAGAGGCGTTAGAAACTAGGAATTTCTAATAATTTTTACCAAAATATAAAATCAAAAAAAAATGATTTCTATGTCTTAAAAGTCGATAAAATGTCAGCTCCACCCGTATTTTTCAAAGCAGTACTTTCCCCGACAGAGCTGCGCCTATCCTCAAAAATCAATTTTTGCAGTTTTTCTCACAAAATCGAATTGAACAAAGTCACATTCCTAAAATTTTCCAGTGGCAGAGCGGCCAATCCTCTGCTCAAAGTGGCTCCTGATTAAAAATGAGTAAGTCTGGTAATGCATATATAGAGGGCATAGATACCGTCAAGAGTTTTGCCAAGTCGCGCAAGAGCCGTTTGAAGTTTATTAAGGCTTTGTTAAGCGGTCAATTTAACTCTTCAGCCACATTGTCAAGTTGGCGTCACTTTCTTATGAGCCACAAAGCAAACTCCTCCATTTTTTGGTCTATTTATATAAATGTAATTTTACCAAGCTGCGCCCGAGCTTCAGCTTAGAATTCTTTTTTAGCCCAAAAAAGTGCGAAAAACAATTTTTGAGACTCGGACATGAGGCAGGGTTTTTCTCTGTCTTTCTGGTTGACACAAATAAACACAATATTTCCAAGCTGCGCCCGAGCTTCAACTTAGAATTCGTTTTTAGCCCAAAAAATTCTAAAAATAATTTTTGACACTCAGACAAAATGCAGGGGCTTCCTTTGTCTTTCTGGTGGAAACAAATAAAAATAATTTTTCCAAGCTGCGCCCGAGCTTTCGATTAGAATTTAACTTTATATGGGCCACTGAAAAATAACTCTTTTCAAACATTCTTCTTCCTTCTTTCTTACCCCTCAATTTTCAGGCGAAGAATCAGAAAAGTCCGACCAAGTTTCAGTGTGCATTGTCCAAAAGATAGTCTCCTATGAGGATCGCCGCCGATTTATCCTCAAAACCACAGGCACGGTCTTGATCATGGTAATTCCAAGCTCTTTTCAAGATAAAATTCAACCCCTTTTCAGCTGGGAATCACCGTCCTCCTGATCCTTCTCCCGTTTATGATACCCTCTTTGCGCGAGGCCATTCACAAAGTCGACAATAGCCTGGTCTGGGTCCTGTTTCTGTTCCATTTTGTGGTGTCGAACGTCATCAGCTGCTGTTGCTTTCGATGCTTGTTCATGTCACCGTTGAATTATTTTCTGCTGACCGGATATGTGGGTTTTAAAAGTTAAAATTTTGATTTTTTTGAAATTTCAAAAAAACGTTTTTGGAAGGCCCGAAAATTTTTTCTAGGCAGTTTTATCCGGACTCGTTCTTATGGTCCTCTGCACCTACTACAGTATCTATGCGGTGATTTTGGCGATGACAGCGACCATTGTTTGTGTTTTGGCGACCATCGTCTTTGCCGGCGTCTGCAAGAAGGATTTGACAAGGTACGAAAACAAATTTTTGCTGACAATGGGCCGAAGATTCAATTTTTTGAAGCGTGATTTGGCCCGGTTTTAACTAACAAGGGAAGTACCCCAAGTGCGACGCTCAGATTTTGATGAAACTTGGCACAAATTTAGAACAATTTTTTCTAAAATACATACGAAAATCCTAGCTCGCGCTATGCAGAAACAACCGAGATTTTTAGATCGAAAGTCAGCGAAAATTTGACAATTTTTTTCCGAACTTGGGCATGAAAAGTTTCACACCTATTTGTACCGTAAAGAGTAATGTTTCCACAAAAAATCATTTTTTTCCGCGCGAGGCTGGCGAAGTTATGATCAAAAAGTGTTTTTCTCTTTGACCACTCTCCACGTTTAGTGTGTTCCCTCGGTGGCAAAGAGTATCTCGGCGACGCTTGCAAAGCGCGAGCTAAAACTTTCAGGAATTGATATTTAGTCCATACCCGACGTGTGTTCAAAATTTAAAGAAAATCTGAGTGTCGCACTTGGGGTACTTCCCTTGTAAATACAGGCCGTTGTCCCAACGTTCATTTGGGCAACAAGACTCGGCCTAAGCCTCCATTCATTCCATACCATACGTGAGATATAAATTACATTTTTGAATTTTCAGCTTATGGTTCGTCGCATGCGTAATTGGACTTTCGTTGACAATCATCATGTTGGGAGCAATCATCATCTCGTTCTACGTGGATTCCACGGCATTATATGTAGGCGACATACAAAATTTTTCCAAAAATTGCTTTTTTTTATACATATGTATATGCCTTTATATGCCTTATCAGGCCAACAGGGAAAACTTGATCCGAACCGCTCAGATTTGAACAAAATTTGGCGTGATTTAGAGTAACCTTTTTCAGAGGTATACAATGTTTTTAGGAACAACAGAGATTTTTTGGTCGAAATTTGACGAAAATTTTATGTTTTGTTTTGAGATCCTTGGCATGAAGAACTTTCTGCCTTATTTTCATATACAAGAGGTAAAGTTTCAGCAAAAAAATCAGAAATTTCCGCGCGAAGTCCGCCCAGAAATGGCCTAAAAACGGTTTTCTCTAAGCGCTCTCCGCATTTCGCATACTCTCTCGTCTGCAAAAATTGCTGAATCTTTTGGCTTCCTCTGCCAAATTCGAGATAAAGTTTTTTTAAATTGAAGTATGGCCTAGGCGTGTAAAAAATTTACTGAAAATTCCTCCACCCCTTACCTTATAGCAACAAGTCATAATTTTACTCTTTAATTTCAGTGGATCAGCATGGTCCTCTCGTTCTTCCTGGTCCTCTACTTTATGTTCACGCTGACGATGAAGATTCAATCCGTCATTGGCGGCACTAACCGGCAGATTGTGTTCGACGAACACGCGCATGGAGTGGCCGCCTTCTCCATCTATCTGGATGTCTTCGGATTGTTCGTCAACTTGCTCAATCTTACTAATCTTGCTAGATGAGTGGATAAAATGGAGAGAAATACTACTAGGACTTATGAATTGTCTCTAGGGAATATTGCAGCCAAAAAATGTTGTAAAAAAGCAATGCGATAGTACAGTGGTCCAGTACACCTGATCCAGTGGCAAAAAACGTACCATTTTGCATCCGGGAAGTATCAAAAATGTGGCAAAATGCTGTCCTCTCCAGGTGAAAAAAACTGCGATTTCAAAAATTTTTTTGTGAGTGAAAGGCCGCGCCCTTCAAAACGAAGTTTTTCCACTTGGAGAGGGAAGCATTTTGCCGCATTTTTTATGCTTCCCGGATGCAAAATGGTACGTTCTTTGCCACTGAATCGGGTCCGTCACTGTAATTGATGCCCGTATTTTACTCTACTTTTCTCGCAAAATCTTTGCTGCAATTTTTACATTGGGCGAATCTCGAATCTGTGCTAATTTCCGGTAATTATCATTTCTCTTTGACTCTCATTTTGTTCTCATATTGGTCAAGAAAATGGTAGGTTCCCCTCCAAACTTCGCCAAACATCTATGACTTCAGGCCGAACCCAATAGCGATGAAGTGTTATCCAAACAAATCGAGACGTATTCTTTGGGCATTTTTCTGGTCATCCTGTTCGCCACTCTGATTTTTGTGGCTTTGACGGCAATAAGTGTTCGGAAAGAGTTTGTCAAGGTGAGATTCTCGAGATTTTGCTAATTTTTTTGAAATTTTTTCAGCTCCGAAAGCAGAAAGAAGAGGAGGAGAAAACACCGGAGACGCTGACAATTGTGGACCCAGAATAATTTGGAATTTTGTGGAATAAATTATGCTCAATATTTAGAATTTTGAATTTTTTTTTGTTAATTTTAAAAATGCGATTTCTAAGAGGCAATTTTTAATGGTATAACTTGGATTTTTTATCATAAATTTATTGATGAATGTCATAGTATTTCAGATTCAATTGAGTCATTCCTATTCATTGCTCGTCTCCAATTTGTAATGCACCTTGAGAGTGTGGATCCAGGCGTGTTGATTGGAGAACCAGAGGCGATAAGTCCCGGTCCGAGGGCAGATAATAAAGTCGCTCAATGGGACATACGTCGGGCCTGGGACCTTCTAAACAACCACAACTTTAAACTTAAAATTCTAAGTAAGGTTGGAGACGTTCAAAAAATAATTTTAAAACGAACTGCAGTGACCCGATCCAGTGGCAAAAAACGTACCATTTTGCATCCGGGAAGTATCAAAAATGTGGCAAAACGTCTCCTCTCCAACAAAAAAAAACTCCGTTTTGAAGATAGCGCCATTTCCCACACAAAACGAGCGAGCGCGCTTTTGAAACCTGAGTTTTTCACTTGGAAAGCGAGGTATTTTGCCACATTTTTTGATGCTTCCTGGATGCAAGATGCTACGTTTTTTGCCACTGGATCAGGTCCCCACTGTACTCACATTAAACCTAGGGTACACGGCTGTCATCAAGTCCACATTTTCCAGTTTCGGATCCTCGGAAAAGTAGATCCCGTACGCGAAATTGCCATCGGCGCTAAATTCCCAGCTCAACTTCTGGCCCTCCTCTGCTTCCACAGCGACCGATCCAACACTCGCGGCTTTCACGTACAACAATTGGGAATCCTTGGGGATCCCGTCCTTGTAATAGCCGTCCTTTTCGAACGGCACCGCCCGTTTGATGTCGGCTTTGAAGAGCTGAAAATGGAGGTCGAATGGATATGTATGAAATATGAAAACATCAAATAAACTGGTAAAAGAAAGTGTTAAAAATGATGTGCCAATTAAGCGAATCAAACGGGGAAAAATCTAGCTGCTATAATGGGAAATGACTAAGATTTGGTCGAGATTTTTAGGTCAAAAGATGGCAAAAAAGAGTCAGCTCATTGTCAGAAAATTACAAATGTGTTTTCTGTATGAAACGCACATGATTTCGACAAAAAAATTGTCAAAATATGCTTCTATAACTTACCAAAATATGGTTCCTCTACTCTCCGAAATTTCTCTAATCTCTGGCGTTAAAAATTGATGAATTTCCTCATGTTAAAAACTTGAAAAAAAGTCATCATCAAGCTACCCAAAAAGCCCCCAAACCAACTCACATCTTCCCCAGGTAGATTCCAAAAGGCCGGAAGAACTTCAGGATCGGCCAACTTCAGAATCTCGTTTCTCCAGTCCGAATCCAAAATGATGACTTTGTTCCGCGTTCGGTGAGGCAACAATGGCTTGGCAATGTTCCACAAAAAGCTGATAAAGGTGGGCACATTGACGAGGACAAAGCTATGGACCATTTCGACGTAGTGTTCCGACATAAAGGCAGAGATGGAGGCCAGAGCGCCGTTCAGGAGAGAAATCAGATTCTTATCGTAGTGTAAGCCGTCCAGGTCCATTATGTACATGATGGAGGTTTGTTCACCTGAAAATACGCTTAATTTTTTTTCAAAATTTTTTATAATTTTGAATATTTGTGAAAAATTTTTTTGAAAATTTTTCCTTTTCTTCGATGCAAGTTTGAAATTAGGATGATCGAGGGTTGTGATTTTGAAAATGAGATTCGTTTTTTTTGATAGTTACTTTTTTCCTTAAGCTTGGTAGCACTGTAAAGTAGTAATTTTTTGAATTTTCTCCATAAATACTTGATTTAGGGGTTTACGATGGTGCTGATTTCGAAAATCTTACTCATTTTTTTCTGATTTTGAAGGCAGAACCACCGTAAAACCCCCAAATCGAGTATTCATGAAAAAAATTCAAAAAAGTACTACTTTACAGTACTACATAAGGAAAAAAGTAAAGATCAAAAAAAAAGAATGTCATTTTCGAAATCAGCACCCTGGATTATCCTAATTTTTGACACTTGCACCGAAGAAAAATAATATTTTTCGGTTTCCCCAATCGTACTTTTCCCCAATCGTCTTTTTCCCCAATCGTCCAACTCCGGTTTCAAATGAGCATGCAAAGATATTGGAAAAAGTGATCTATTTATATAATCTTTTTTCTCTTACCAGTCTCCGCTTCATGCTCCATGACTTTATGCAACATAAACTCCAAATCGTAGACTCTCGCCCTCATCACCTCATTCAGCGGATACGTGTACAACATGCCCCAGTAATCATTTCCTCCGCTCTGTTCCACATTGATGAATGTGTGAGGGGTTTTCCCGGCCAATCCACCCAATCCCGCCTGCCAATGCGCATGAATTGGATGGTCGCGCGGCTTCAGATGCGCCGTATCCAAATTCCAATGACTCTTGCGGAAGGTCAAGTGATTCCGGAGCTTGGGGACGATCTCGTTGAAGTTGTGGTTGTGTCCTTTTAGCCAACGGAGGAGATTAAAGTCCGTGTCGTAATAGGGAGTCAGCTGGAGCGGAATTAAGTTATTGGCTAGGAGAATTAGGCTTGAATATGGAACAAAGCAACTTCTACATCTACGCTATGAAAAATCCTGTAATTAACAATCCTGTTTCTTATCAAAAACAATCAAATTTCACAAGGGAAGTACCCCAAGTGCGACGCTCAGATTTTCTTTAAATTTTGCTCACACGTCCGGCAGAGACTAGATATCAATTCCTGAAAGTTTTAGCTCGCTCTTTTCAGGCGCTGCCGAGATATTGAATGATCTTTGCGGCCGAGAGAGTGCGCTAAACGCGGAGTGCGGTCAGAGAGAAAAACACTTTTTGGCCATAACTTTGCTAGTACCATGCGGAAAAAATTGATTTTTTTGTGCAGGGATTACCCTTTACGATACCAGTAAGTACAAAACTTTTCATCCCGAAATTTGGCAAAAAGTCCAAAATTTTCGCCGACTTTCGATCCAAAAATCTCGGCTGTTTCTGCAAAGCGAGAGCTAGGATTCTCGCATTATCCTAGAAAAAGTTCTTCTAAATTTGCGCCAAGTTTCATCAAAATCTATGCGTCGAACTTGGGGTACTTCCCCCGTAAGCATCTTTAAAGTCTACGCTATCAAAAATCCTATAATTAGCGAGCCTTTTCCTATCAAAAAGAATCAAATTTCAGCTAAAAGCAGCCTTAAATTTTCAATTCTTAATCTACACCAACTAATCCCCATAATCAAAAAAAAATTTTTTTTTTTATTTCAACTTACATCATCCTTGACCAACTCCCTCAATTTTTTGATGTCTTCCAAGTCGTTTTCGGGGATATTGGGCCGGACCATCACGAGAAAAAACGATTCAACTAACGACTTGACGAAAAGAGAGCCGTTTGCAAAACAAATTCCGAAACGAAAAAAGCGATGGGAATCAAGAAAAGGTGGGCTTCCGAAGACGAATCGACATTTTTGCCTGCAGTTTTCGCGCAAGAACGTTGAAGGGAGGGGGGATTCGGTGTTGGCGGGGATCAAAAAGTATTGAGGTCAAATCTTCTTTTCAATTTGCTCGCGCGGAAAAAGTGACCACATAGTGCCGTAATCGGGGGAGAAAAGAGAGCCTGAGCGATTTTAAACTGCATTTTAAAAAAGAAATATTTTTCCAGCCTCAAGGTAAATTCCCAACCAGAGCTTACGCTAGCTTCCTATCAAAATAAAACCCCTAAATTTCATATTTAATTTCATTTATTTCGTTTTCAAAATATCAAACCTATTACAATATTTAGAACCCGTTCATTTGATACGAACGTATTAAGTCTGTTACAAACGCCAAAAATACGTGTTCAAAAATAAATTTCCAACCGAATGAGACATTCAACAACCGAATGGGGCAAAATTAGACAAAAATATTGGACATTGAAGATTCACCGTCAAACCGAGCATAGCATAATAAAAATTTCTCCGGAATTAATGTTAGAATACTCCAAAATAAGGTAAAATAGAGTTACATACAGTTCAAAATGGGCTTAGAATTGAGTGGATGGAAGCCAAGTGGGTTCGAATGAGGAGTCTTCCCAAACAAGCAAAGTTTTATATTACACTAGGTCAGGTAATAAATCTAAATTTTTTATCCCTAAACCACCTAGATCAACAGTTATAGTATCTGAAAGGCTTTTTTAATCATTTTAAACCATTAATTTATCGAAATAAGCATTTAAACTTCCAGAAACAAAGAATTTTTATATTATACTTGACATTGATACCTACTGTTATTGTTAGCTCCCCAACCGAAACCCCTTTCTCAAAAATTTATTATACTATCCTCTGCTACCTTTAACCAGCTTTTAACTGATATGTCGCACTCCCGATTTCCTCCCACCCAGCTTCCTCACCACCCATTTTTCCAAAATCTTGACTATTCCCAACTTTAGGCCAAATAATTGAATTTCGTGATATCATTAGGATCCCTGCCTATAAATTGTTGTTCGATCAGCCATTCCAGTTGCTCTTTTATCATCTTCCTCGACGGCGCGAACATATTTCTGAGCATTTCGATCAGCCGATTCTGCAAGTCCAGCTGATTCATGGAGCGGTGCGTTTTCAGGATCTTGATGATGGCTTCTTGAGTGCGGAACTCCCTCAATCGGATGATATCCTCATGCTCCTCCTCTGTTACGTTCTCAGCGGCCACAACAAGGCGGTTGACCAGGTTGATTCGTCCTCTCGGCTGAGGTTTGTCATTTTTTACCACCGCAAACTGTTGATTGATCCAGAACAAGGTCGAATCCGTGAAATCTTTGGGGTTGGGCGGGCTGCAATCCGTCTGCATCACCTGCACTTTGACTTTGGGGTTCTGGAGGAGACTCTGAAAAAAAATTTTCTAATTTTTGACCAAAAAAACTTTAATTTTAGACCTAAAAAATTTTTTATTTTTGATAAAAAAATTTTTTATTTTTTGCCAAAAATTTTTTTAATTTTTTCCCAAAAAAAATTTTTTATTTTTGACCAGAATTTTTTTAATTTTTGACCAAAAAATCCCGATAAATTTTTCATTTTTACCCCCCACTCACCCCCAGAGTCCTTCTCAGGTCCGTATCACTCAATTCCGTCGCCAATCTGATCGTTTCGAACGACAATTTCTCCTTCGGCCGGTCATTCCAGATGAATAAAACGGCCATTTGATGGGTCGAGACCTCCAAATCGTATTTTCCGGCTTCATTTTGGAACCCAATCACTCCGGTGGACCAGGAATGCGCCCAATTCAGCTTTCTTCCCACATGTTTTTTCTTGTAAAAGTCTTCAATTTCGGGGATTATTTCTTCGATCTCCCTCGGCAATGTGATATGCGCCTTTTCGCGGCCTCGACTCCAAGCTCCGGCATTCAAAATCTTGAGATTGATGTTTTCAGCTGTATTGCGGATGTTGTTATTCGCTCCGATCGACTTCTTGAACGCGGTGGAGAGATCTTTGTTCACTTCAATGTCCTGCAGCATCCGGTAGAGGCGATTCACGTAGTCGGTGGGCATTCCATTGTCCTGGAATTTGGGAAACGATCAATAAATCGTGATAAAAATGAAGAAAATGCCAAAGCAGAGACTTTAAAAAAACAAAAAAATATTTTTTTAGGTAACAAAAACTTCGAAACGGAAAATTTTGAGCTTTTTCCCTTCTCGAATCAACCCTGTTTCGCGGAGTTGGACGATTAGGGAAGGGACGATTGGGGAAACCGAAAAGCATTATTTTTCTTCGATTCAAGTGCCGAAGTTACGATAATCGAGGGTGCTGATTTTGAAAATGACATTCGTTTTTTTTTTGATCTTTACTTTTTTCTTACGTAGTACTGTAAAGTAGTAATTTTTTGATTTTTTTCCACAAATACTCGATTTCGGATTTTTCGATGGTTCTGATTTCAAAAATCTTATTCATTTTTCTGATTTGAAAGCAGCACCATCGAAAACCAATAAGTCGAGTATTCATGAAAAAATTCAAAAAAATTTTACTTTACAGTACTACGTAAGAAAAAAAGTAAAGATCAAAAAAAACAAATGTCATTTTCAAAATCAGCACCCTCGATTATCCTAATTTCGACACTTGCATCGAAGAAAAACAATACTTTTCGGTTTCCCCAATCGTCCAACTCCGCGAAACAGGGTTGATTTGAGAGGGAAAAAAGCTCAAAATTTGCCGTTTTGAAGTTTTTGTTACCTAAAAAACATTTTTTTGTTTTTTAAATGTCTCTGTTTTGGCCCCAACCGTCCCAGTTCCCTGTTACATCCCAAAAACTCACTCTAAACATTTTCACCAAGTTCTCTTCCTTTTCCTGATCTGCAGTCAACTCCAATATTAACCTTCGGCTCAGATGGTTCTTATGGTACCGCATGAAAACATCCTTGTTACTAACGTATTTTAGGAGCAATAACTGAAATTTTACAACCCGTTACACCATATAACAGTCAAACAAGCAAAAATTTTTTTCCGAACTCACCACTTTGTTCAGTCTTTCATCAATTTCTTCGGATGACAATTTTTTGGTCAGCGCCGATTTTCTCAACAACAAATCGCAGTAATTGGCCAAAAGTTCCGGGCATTTCGATTCAGGGGGCAATCGTCCTCCTCTCTGTTTGCTAACGACCAGTTCCAATTTGAAAACTTCGGTGTTATTGATCACATCTTGGAAGGATTTGTCTCTGACCGTCAAGAACCGGGAGTCGTCGCAAAAAGCTTCACGTACCAGCTTGGAAAATCGCTCGTACATGCCCAGTAGCTGTTCAACATACTTTTCCGAGTCCTGAAAGCCACGCATTATTCTTTCGAACTTCGATGTTGCTTCTTAGACCTAAAACAACAACAAAAAAGTCAAAATAACTCACATTGACAACCGTCGCGGCATTCTCCTTCATAGTCTTGAGTCCTTCGCTCTTTATATGATCGGCCAGTGTATTTAGCAGCGGTTTCACTCCATTTTCGGTCTTTGTCACAAGCCCATACAACATCCGAAGTCCTAAAACAAGTACAATATAAATCCTACAAAAAATTCTTCGTTTTAGATCTAAAAAAACAAGTACAATCTAAATATAACATACTTTCCACATCATTTTTCTGGATCAACGAAGCTCCTTCAGCCAGTAATCCTTCCAGATAGTCGACCACCAAAATTTTGACAGAAGCCTCGACCAACCGTTCGTACGAAGATGGATCCAGATATTTCTTAGCGCGATCTTCCTCCTCTTGGACTTTCTCAAAGGCATACGCCATATAATTTAGGATTCCACCATCTTTTAGGACCTAAAATCATGTTTTTGAAGAGTCCGAAAGAGGAACTAAAATTTGCTCAAAAAATTCTTAAATATGAACGATGATAAGTCTATAAACCAGTTATAAGCATCAGAAATTACAAAATTAGCTCAGGTCTCTCCGAAAATTTCATTTGAAAAAAAATTGATTGCCTAAGGTAATATCCGAGCCATTTTGATAGTGAAAATGGAATGGAGTTCCATAAATTTTGTCGTGGGAATCCACAATAATAGGTAGACAAACTATTTTCAACTTCGAGGCATTTCCATCAGTCCTAAAAACCAGAAGAAAAACAAATTCTAAAATTCTTACCTGATTAGCACGTTCTTTGTAAAACTGCTGAAGCGACGTGATGTATTGTGTCTCAAAGAACTTTTTGTACAACAACAACGAACAAGAGTCTCCATGACCCGCATTGACAAAGCCTTCACGCACTCCGACCACCAGCTCGGACTTGGATACGGCCGATTGTCCACTTCGCTCTTCGGAAATCAAATGATTGGCCGCCGAAAGGAGTCGCTGATAGATGCTCTCAAAAACCGTCTCGTTCCACAAGGTGTACATGACATTTCGGACAGTGAATAGAGTCTCTGCATGTCGGCCTTCCACTCGGGCGATCCCCACCGCCGGCCGGATCACACCTCTTTCGATAAACGCAAACGGAGTCGGAAGATGGATAATCAGAACGGAATAGTTTGACCATTCGTGAACATACGCCTTCAAGAGATCCGCATCCGATTGGTTTTGATGGATTCGCTAAAAGAAAGACAGAATTTTAGCTTATTTTCGACGAAATTGCGATAGAATTTTAAAATGGACAAGTATAACAAAGATAAGGGTCAAAGAGCCATCGAACGTCGAAAAAGTCGACGGAAAGATGAAAACAACTTTCTGCCAGCTTGCACTTCCTCGATTTTAATAAAGCCGTCTAAAAATTTGAGGAAAACCATCCACTTTCGATAGATTTTCGAAAAGGGCCATCAGATCAGCAAGTACAATAAAAATAAGACCTACTGAGCCGTAAACAAACCAGCAACCTCTTTGGAGAGCAAGAAAAAACCCATTCCTACCTGCGCTGCGTTTTCAACATGATTCCGCAAGACCTCTTCCAAAGCTCGCAACAACAATGAAGACCCGTTTGGCACCCATGATGTAATTCGATTATTTATTGCGAACAGGTCTTGCCATTCAGTTTTGGTGACATTCTAAAACTCAGAACAGATGAATAAAACCGGCTCACCTGACGTTCCAACAATTTTCGAACAATCTCCAACGCGGGTGCCCATTCGGCCTCAAAACAGTCGGATTGTTGTGCCAAAAGCATTAAGATCTGTGAAGAAAAGGTGCAAAACCCAAAGTACTCGGTCGGAAAACGAGTTGATATTGATCCAACACACAGTGACCACCTTCTTCTTCAATTTTCGTCCGACTTTCTCAAGATTTTTACGCAAAAATTTTCGCTGATTTTCGAAGAGTGCGACGAAATGTCAATATTGACTTCTCGCCAAAAAATTTTTTTTAATTGATGGTAAAATACGTAATTTTATAAATATAGGGATAAAATCATTTTGAAAATGACAAACAGACTTAAAATTTATATGCAAATTCCGAATCTCATGGTCATCATCTCCATTTTTGTTGCACAATGTCAAAAAAAATCCGATAATTTTGTGGCATTCCGCCGAATGGCGCGTTATTCTGCATAAACTCTTTTTATTCGGATTAACACTATCTAGGGCGATGAATGGTAGACTGAAACGAATATTAGAACAAGCACAAGTTCCTCCGGTTCACAAAAGATACGTCCGGAGGGCGTTTGAATCCGAGTTTGAGGAAGTTGTGGATAAATTCTTGGAAGCCGCGGAGAATGGTGAGTATTTCTGAGGTTGTTGAGGTTTAGAGAGACGAGAAAAAATGATGGTGGAGTGCCGTTCCAACAAGAGATCAACTTTTCCGCAGGCAATTCGCAAAAATTTTGCCAATTTTTCTCTGACCGCCCTCGACATTTTGCATACTCTCTCGTCAGCAAATATTTCCCTGATAAGGACCTTTTTCAGACAAAGCTGCTCTCTCAATCACCGGTTTGACTGGAACGGGCAAGTCCGCATTAATCCGGAATCTTCTTTGGCACCGCTCAGATATCGTGGGGCACCATTTCAAGCGGATTTTGTTCATCTCCGATGAAAATACGGACCTTCGGAAGGTCCCAAATCTTATAACAAATGCGTTGTTCAGTTTATGGAAGGAAATTCCAGACGAAAAAACCTTGGAATTATTCCAGAATGGGCCTGAACTTTTGTTGAGACGAGTCATTGATGAGCTGCAAAAAGTTTTGATCATTTTGGATGGGGTTTATCTGGAAGAAGTCGTGAATTTTTTCAAGGATTTGAGGGTGAGTTAAAATTTGAAAAAAAACGTATTATTCGAGTCTTATATAGTAAATTTTTTTCGAGGAATGGTAAAAACAAAATTTTGAAAGCTTTTCGAAATCCAATTCCTAGGATTTTTAGTTCAAAAATTTTTGAAAAAATTTTAATTTTTTGCCTGTTTGAAATTGGAATAATTTTTCGCGAGAAAAAGTAGCAAATCAATTTGCTGACAAAAAATCCGCAAAGAAAATTGCAACCCCGATTTTTCTCTGACCAATCTCCGCATTTCGCATACTCTCTTGTTGAAATCTCTGCAGATTGTTGAAATGTTCCCCTGGCGGCTCTCCCTGCAAATCGCAAGCTAAACTTTTCAGGAATTGATTTTTACCTTATTTATAGAGCGCATGCAAAATTTCAAAAAAATCGAAATCTTGGACTTGGTACCTCTCTTGCTTGTAGAGCCATTTCCCACCCTTTCTGCCCCAAATACTCTTATCAGCATCTATATTTTTAGTGTTCGCTAATTATCACAACGAATCGCCGAGACCTTACCAATCATATCGACAATATTTTCACATATCATATTACACTGGAACATACGAATATTGATGATTTAACAAATTTATCGACAGCTTATGGACTCACTAATATTTCGAGGCATTATGCAAATGTGTTATTGAAAATTACCGGAGGGAATTTTGGGTTATTGGAGAAACTTTTTACCGCTGCGAAGGGTAGCAATGAACGGTAAGCCTGAGTTATCATTGTTATGCAGATTTCTCGAAGTTGAACGGGCCTATTTTCTTAAAATTTTGCACACGTGTTGTGTTTGAGTCATATAGCAATTCCTCAAAATTTTAACCCAAGCGTTATAAGGGCAGTCGAGATTTTCAACGAAATTTATTGACGAGAGATTACGAAAGATGAGGAGAGCGGCTAGAGAAAATTTATTTTTTTTGGCCGAAACTCTAGCTATCTAAAAGTAAATAATTTTTTTGTAGAAATTTTTTAATGGTACTGTAAATTTTTCAAATAAAAAAATAACTTTTCGCCAAAATTTCATATTTTTTAAAATTTTTTATTTTAGCCTAAAATTCCTCGTTGATCAGCTCCGAATCGGGATCTCAACTGAACTCGACTGCATTTCCTATTACTCCCATCGATCTCTCTACACCCCCATTGATCTCACATCATCATTTTTACGGCCCAATGTGGCCAATCAAGTCGTTTCCTTGGCCCTGTTACAGATGGGAGTTTGGCTTCGGATCGAAATTTTGGCCAAGTTATGGTCGGTGGACTTGGTGGATAGCAATAGAAATTTCATATGTCAAATGATCAGCGCGGAAATGTCACATCTGGCGGAATTCAGCTTGCTGGACAACTCTTTGGATGATAACGAAATTAGGGTACCCCCGCTGTTCAGACACTATTTATTGGCAAAAACTGGAACTGCTCAGCTTACGGTGAGTTGATACGTTGAATTTATTGGCAAGATGACCATGGTGTAACAGTAAAAAATGCGAAATAAACAAAAAAAATTTTGCAAAAAATTGTGAAAAGGGGGGACCAAGGCAAATTTCTTCATCCAATTATTTTCCCTAATATTTTCGATTTTTTTTTGATGGCAAACTGAGATTTACACCACATTTATTTTCATCAAAAAAAATTTCAGACCTACAACAAATTTATTCATCGGCTTCGGACCGATAAAACCGAATCCAAGCCCTACTCCGACGACTATCTTTTGAGTCAGCTGGTTGATCCGATTAAAATTGAAGCCGCGTTGAAGAGAAGTTGCCGGCGACCTTCCGAGCTCGTTGCCAAAACCTCAATCCTTGATTATGTCTATGAGATTTTTAATCATTTATTTCGAAGGTAATAAAAAAGTAGGCAATGGAAGGTTTGGGTTACTGTAACAGACAATTTCTTTTGTCACAAGAAGGAAGATACCCAAAAATAATGATCATTTACTATTAGCATTTTCACAAAGTGCCTGGACATTTTTTCGCTTCCTTTCGCACAGTGCATCTTGAACTTTTGTCGCCAACGCACTGTGGACTTTTGCCTTTGCGCACCGTGCAAACCTCAAAAAAGCCGATTGCACTGTGCAAATTTTTGAGCAAAACCGGCAGTTGAGAAAAGCTTCCGTCGCAGCGATATTTCAAATGCACAGTGCGAAATTTATTCATTTCAAAATGCACAGTGCAAAACCAAAAAAAGGTGAGTGCACGGTGCAAGAAATCGCGAATTTTTGTGCACGGTGCGAACTGCGACAAATGTCCAGGCACTTTGTGAAAATGCTAACAATAAGTACGAGATCAGGGATTGATAATAACACTTTTATATTGCTTACAATGAATGATTAGTAAATAAGAGTGGTGCGTTATATTATTCCAAAAAGTTTCAAACTTACTTCATTTTTAGCCTACATGAAATTTTGTGGCCTACTTCAAAATCTGGTTTGCCTAGGTGAAAAAATTTCATGTGGGCCAAAAAAAAAATATTTTTTTTTGGCATAGGTGATTTTTTTTCATGTGGGCAAAAAAAAATTTTTTTTTTGGCATAGGTGGTTTGTTTTCACGTATGCAAAAAAAAAATTTTTTATGTTCGCCCACATGAAGTTTGTGATCTCACAAATTTCAAAGATGAAGAAATCGATGTAGGCCAAAACCGAGATTTTGGCCTAGTTCATGCAAGCGGTCAAGAAGGTCAAGAACTAGGCGGAAATCATGGTTTTGGCCTAGTTGATTAAATCGAAATTCATTAAATCGAACTAGGCCAAAACCATGATTTCCGCCTAGTTCCTGCCCGCTTGATCATACAAATCCTAAAAGTTCCATGAAAAATTTTATAAAAAATAAAAAGAACAACAATGGACATAATAATATTATAGGAGAATACAACAAAAGATTATTATTGGGATAAGTTGTGTTCATACACAACTTATTTTTAGAAAATATATGACTTTTTTCATTGAAAAAACATTATTCTTTGACAGGGAAAGTACTTCTATGGGGTATGGAGTTCCAGGTCGAGTCATATCAAAAAATTCGCAAAATTTTTCTGATTCAGAATATGCAAAAATTAGCTGCCTAATTTTGGTCTGTATGGGTGAAAAAATGCTCAAAACTTTTCTCGCAACACCATGAAAATCAGCATTTTTTAGATTGGATGCTAATTGAGATGTAGAATAAATTAAATTTGATGTTTTAAGTCTTGCAAAGATACCAGAATTTACTTTAAGATACCAGAGTTTACTTTGGTGTTACGAGAAATGTTCTGGAATTTCACCCTTACAAACCAAAATCAGGCGGCTAATTTTTACATATTCTGGATCAGAAAAAATTGCGAATATTTTGACATATAGCTCGACCTGTAACTCCATACCCCATAGAAGTACTTTCCCTGTCAAACAATAATGTTTTTTCAATGAAAAAAGTCATATATGTTCTAAAAATAAGTTGGAAAAACTATATTATTACTCAAAATCACTTTTACCATTACCATTCAGTTCTTGGTTCTTTGCGGCGCGCTGTTTCATTCCATGGAGATAGGCCTCGAATTTTTCCTGGCGTTTCTCGATTTTCCGGGCTTTCCTCTTTTGCTTCTGTTCCGCAACGTTTTAGGATCAACCGGTCTAAAATCAGAAAATATAAAGTTATAATAAAACTCTTACCGTGTGTAAACGGTGGCCTTCTTCGCACCCTCCTTGTTTGCTTCGTCTGGAGCTCCAACCTTAGCATCCCCATCGCCGGCTCTATTCTGATACCATCTTCTCACTGTGCGGTCGTTTATGATTTCTTGGCCGCAGAGCTCATCTTCGCTTTCTGTGGGCTCTGTGGCTCTTGAGGGGTCCATTGGGTGATATCACTTTCCGTGTCGAGCTAAACACGGTCTCGGTTTTGGCCTACATCGATTTCTTCATCTTTGAAATTTGTGAGATCACAAACTTCATGTGGGCGAAAAAAAATTTTTTTTTTGCATACATGAAAAAAAACCACCTATGCCAAAAAAAAATTTTTTTTTTGCCCACATGAAATAAAACCACCTATGCCAAAAAAAAATAATTTTTTTTTGCCTAGATTAAAAAAAAACAAAGATTTCATGTAGGCTAAAAATGAAGTAAGTTTGAAACTTTTTGGAATAATATAACGCACCCTTCTTAAATGATTTGAATATTTTTTTGTTTTTTTTTGATCAGCTAAAGTCTAAAGTAATATATTATAAATCAAAGGGAAGGACGCCTCTAGGACTCCACCGATTTACACTGATCTTGCAAAAAACATCTGCAAACAGTCGAACTAGTTTTTTTTTGTATTTCGGAAAGTTAAGGGGCGCATCAATTTTCCCGACGAACGGATGTTATCCATCAACGGGAGGGGCATCTTCATAATGTTCGATAACCACCACTTCCTTCTGCAGAATCGCCAAGGAACGGGCTGTAACAGGAGGTGATTGCAAGGGAGTGGAAATCGGAGCTTCTTTGAATTGTCTTTTCTTATATTATACATGGTTGATCAGATGAATTCAAAGCGGATAGAAGTGAATCCTCACTTGCTGGATAATCACTGTTGTAATTATCTGGTCTGCAATCGCAGAAACAGTATTTTCTCAATTTTACATGAGGTCTTCTTTGGGGTTATGACCGAGTTTCTGTATTTCCAGAAAATCAGTCATTGGTCTGTTTGTTTTTCTCGATTTTTCTTTTCATTTTTCCGTTGATGTTGTTGTGCGATGCTATTTCTTTCTGAATTTTGTTTTGCTGTCTTTGTGTTTGCCTAAATTTATATAATTTTGACGTAATTTCAGGTCCTCCCTCACTTTTCTTCACCTACAACATTTCTCCGAACATGGCCAAACACGACAGCTTCCCGGACTCGTTGTCTTCCGGTTGCCTTGCTTCAACCTCGTTTACCGAGTCTATCACTTGTGGGCCAACTTCATGTGGTCAATACTTTGCACGCTCTCCGGTAATTGATCGTCATGTAGCTGATGGATCCAGTTTAATATTTTCAAAGAAAAGGTGGGTGAATTGGCATTTTTTTTTGGGATTTTAGCTGGTAAAAGAAGAATTGGGATGTGAAGCCTCCTCTGTTCGATTATCCAAACGATTACCAGCCGATTAGCTAGATTATTTTGCTTTTCATATTATCCATGATCACTGCATCCAAAAAAAATGTTCTCTTTTTAGTGAGGACGATGATGGTGAATTCTACTCATCGACGATCATCCGCATCTACAATAAGTACGCCGAGAAGGTAGAGAACGAAAAGACCCCCCTATACAAGAGGATTTTGAGTCGGATCAGTGGTCTGATGACGGATCGTCGAGGAAATTACCCAATGGATTGCCGCATCGAGCATCAGCCTCCGAGTAATGTGTCTTTCATCAATTACAGAGTGATTCGAGACTGAGAACAGTGGTAATAATGTAATTAGCTAATCCCTATTAACCTTATATTGTACTTGACCTTTCATTTTTAATCTCTCATTTATGTTGTTCTGAGACACGGATATGACACTACGCAGTTAATAAAGAGTTCTATAAGAGTTTGTGGTCAGTATTTTGCTTCGATTTTTGTGCCGACACAATTTATATTATATTACACTTGATGCTGTAAAAAATGCATGGTAATTTCGTAATTGCTATTAAATGTTGCTTGTTTACTGTGCAATATACTTTATTTACTATCCTTGTAAACTTATATAATGTTATAGATTCCTCGAATGATGTAAAAAATTGAACCCATCGACCCAAACCACCTCCCACTCACTCGTCAAAACACGATGAATTCCGTGTTTCGATACGTTTTGTCCCGCGCTTCTTTACAACTAATTAATTAGCTACTTTCCGCTACCTATATATAAACTTTCCTTATAAATATAACTCGCTTTAAACCGCCGTTTAAACGTCGCTGTAACGGCCGATGTTTCGCAACGTTATCAACTCTCTTTTTTGGGCCACTATTTTTATTTTATTTTACATATACACTTTCTCAGCAATTGAGGCAAAAAATGGAGGGAAAATTGAAGAAAAGGCCGGATAAAGTAGGCATTACTGTATTTACTGAGTTTATTTTAGTTTTGGAAGAAATTCTTGGCAATTAACATGAGGCAAAAGACATTGTTTGGGACTCAAAGAACATATTGCGTCGATTGCGCGGAAATCGCAAGGTAAATTCGGAATTTCGAAAAATTTTTCAAGTCAGCGCTCACTAAACAATCCATTTTATAATGTGAATTGCATGGTTTAGATGCGAAGTTGAGCTGCTTAAAATTTCAAAGAGAGAGGATCGCCTCAAACCGATTTAAATCCTCCTGAAATACGTTTGTCATACGGTGGAGGAGGCCCAAAGATTGAGAAGAAAACCGACTCAAGTCAGGAAGATGATCGGCTGGAGGGTGGAGGACGGGAATGTCGACGAACTCATGCAGGTAAAGCAGGCAAATCATTAAATATCGGCGTACGAACCACCAGTTTAGACGGAACAGGGAGGGTTGAGGGAAAAGACGATTGGGGAAACTGAAAAGTATTATTTTTCTTCGATGCAAGTGTCGAAATTAGGATAGTCGAGGATGGTTGATTTCGAAAATGATATTCATACTCGATTTAGAGGTTTTCCATGGTGCGGCATTCTGTACTTTTGGGAAACAACCGATCTCCGGGACTTTTACAATTTTTTTTGGAATGCGCTTTCTTTTTCTCTTCATATCTCGCTAGCCGTTTGCGCTAGAAGGCTGAAATTTGGTATGGCAGTAGAGTAGAAAGCTGGCTTTCAGAAAATATGGTTATTGTAAGGAACCCCGCAGTATAAAATTCCCGATGACACTAATCTTCAAATCAGAAAAAAATTAATAACATTTTTGAAATCAGCACCGTCGAAACCCTCTAAATCGAGCTTAATCGAGTATTTGTAAAAAAAATCTAAAAATTACTACTTTACAGTACAAAAATTAAGGATCAACGAACATGAATGTCATTTTCGAAATCAGCGCCACCAATTCCCCCAATTTCGACACTTGCGTCGAAGAAAAATAATACTTTTCGGTTTCCCCAATCGTCCAACTCCGAGTCTATTCCAATACGCATACATTTTTGTATCGATGTTACTTTCAGGATGTAATATATACCATGGAAAAGAAACGATCGCTCTTCGACGCTCAAATGAAACGGTACTATCGGTCCAACACACCTCCCAGAGCTGTGTTTTTCACAAGGTTGTAGTTTCACAATTACTGCTTATAATTTGTGACAAGGGTAAATGTTTTTTTATAATTTATTTTAATAACGGCCACATTTCTTGAATAAATCAGTTCCCGTCTTACAGTTATTTTTGATTACTCTTGCCCAAAAACTAACATACACCTCGAGTTACCGGTCTTGTGGAAAATGAGAAGAGATCGCCAGGGAAAAAGACTTTGCCAAGTCTCCGCTGAGCCTTCGCCGAGAGTCCGCCGACCATCCAACGGCTTTGCCAAGTCTCGTAGGCACTTCCCACAGCGTTTTTTTTGGTATCCACCTTCCCCACGCCTCATATCGGTCAATTTTTTGTTGACACGAAAAATTGGGACGCGCCAAGTTTCGTCAAAATATGAATGTCGCTTTTTGGGCATTTTTCTTGTTAGCAGCCAAAGGTCGCCTTCAAAATTTCCCCCCAATTTAATATTTTGAGGCCATGTATCGATCGACTTTGTGTTCACCCGAAATGTCGTCGACGCGAGTATCATTATGTCCAATTACTCCCTCGAAAGCTAGGAAGAACCTTAACAAATCCCTAAATATAGTACCATCTCGATTCCTCTCTAATCACTTTCAATCCACCACAATCCAATTCCTTCTTCAAAAAAAATCTCCAATCAAAGTTTTGAACCGTTTCTTTCTGTCTAAAAAACATACAAATTTGGGAGAAACTAGAAAAAATTTACAAAAGAACGAACAAAATCTTGGAAGAAATTATAATTTAGCGCTTTGGAGCGTTTCACATATAAGACGTATTCGGTAGAGGGGGAGTAAATATTTAAAATCGAAACAAAAAAGAAAGAGGAAAAAAAAGAAAAAAAAAGAGTTTTAAGACAACTAACGGCTACGGGGAACAAAATAATCGAGTATTATATTCCAATAATTATATGATATATTGTGTTACAATTAAAACAACATTCGTCCAGTCCACTTGCGGTCTAATTACAGGTTCAGCTCTTGCGCAATCTTCGAGGCAATGTTCTTGAAGCCGATCGAGGTGCCGGAGATTCGCTTGAAGCGCACGCCGTTCAACGACAGACGCGGCAGCTTGCAGATCTGGAAAGAGCAAAGTCAGAATACAAAGTAAAATCCACCAGGGTCCATTCAAAAGTTGCGTCGACTTTCGTCAAGACCACTTTTAATAAAAAAATTTTAAAAAAAAATTTCAAAAATCCGGAACTGCGACGATTGGAGAAACCAAAAAGTATTATTTTTCTTTGATGAAAGTGCCGAAGTTAGGATAATCGAGGGTGCTGATTTTGAAAATGACATTCATTTTTTTTATCTTTACTTTTTTCCTTACGTAGTACTGTAAAGTAGTAATTTTTTGAATTTTTTTCATGAATACTCGATTTGGGGGTTTTCGATGGTGCTGCTTTCAAATCGAGAAAATGAATAAGATTTTCGAAATCAGAACCATCGAAAAATCGGAAATCGAGTATTTGTGAAAAAAATAAAAAAAAAAATACTGCTTTTCAGTACTACTTAAGGAAAAAAGTAAAGACCAAAAAAAAAATTAATGTCATTTTCGAAATCAGCACCTCGATTATCCTAATTTCACACTTGCATCGAAGAAAAATAATACTTTTCGGTTTCCCCAATCGTCCAACTCCGCAAAAATTCCTTTTCCGTCTCAATTTTTTTTACATTACTTTCTCCCCTCTCTTTGTCCATTGTTTTCCCAGACAAATCTGATTTCCTTTCGTCTCAAATCCGATTAAACCGGCGCTTACCTCCATTTCCCATTGTACCAGTGAGTCCGAGTTGGGGTCGCCGTGTACGCAGAGCAACAAGTAGCGCTCTCTTTGTTCGTAGTCACATTTGTTCGCGTCCAGCACTTTCTTGATCTCTCTGAAAACAAATTATATATATCATGGTCAAAAATAAATCAAAAAAAAAAATTCCAGCTTTCTAATCTTTAAAAGAACATGTCTACTGTCCTATTACCTAAAAAATCCTTCTATTTCTTACTGAACTATCAGATACAGCCATCTAAAGTCCAGAACCGACCGAAACCCGCAATTTTCGACCTTAATTTAGCCAAAATCACCTAAAGTAACATAAATTTTGGTTTAAAAACCCCACTCCATAAAATCCCTCCAAATGCCCAATTCTCTCTCAAAAATCCCATACTTACTTCATTATGACATCCGGTGGCAATGAACTTGTAGTCTTCATGCTCCATGTGAATCGCAACGACCTCGGTTTCACCTCATTATCGGCTCCGGGTTGGGCGTTCGGAGTGCTCGGGGCGGATGCAAATCCTGGAGGGGTGGTTGGCATAGTGCCGGTTCCAGCGCTTCCCACTGTTGCCGAATTTATCGTGGTCGGGTCTTGGTGTTGGGCCTGTTGTTGCAGCTGAGCCAAGGCCGCTCCGGCCGATGGGCCAATCGTTCCGCTCCGGCCGACGCCTTTGCTGGGCTGGGTGGGGCCATCGGTGGTGTTACTGAAATTTGAGAGCATAATTTTCGCCGTCAAATTACAGTTTGACGGACCTGATCCAGTGGCAAAAAACGTGACATTTTGCATCTGGGAAGTATCAAAAAATGTGGGAAAATGCTTCCCTCTCCAAGTGAAAAAACTTCGTTTTGAAGGGCGCGCCTTTTCCTCACAAAAATCGGAGTTTTTTCGCTTGGAGAGGGAAGCTTTTTGCCACATTTTTGATACTTCCCGGATGCAGAATGGTATGTTTTTTGCCACTGGATCAGCTCCCAGTAAGCAAAAAAAAGCAAAGAATCCCCAAAAATTTTAAATTCCATTCTATTTTTTAGTCCTCAACTAACCTCCCACCCAATAAAAAATTCAAAAAAAAAAAAATTCTTTTCTTACCGTTTCGTCAATTTGGTCAGCTTGCTCAGAAAAAACCCGCGTTGATTTGCTTGAGCGGTTTGTGGGACGGTGGGGTTCGGGGCTTCTACGTCCGACTCCTCCTCGTCGTGGCTTCCTCTATTATGTTCGGTTTTGCCGTGAAAGGTCTGCCGATTCCTCGAGTTTCGGGGGAAATTCGAGGCTCCGGACGCCGGTTGAACTGAGATCGCCGTTGCGTTTTGGGGGCCTGGGCCTCCGTGCGTTACACTTTTCGTCATTTTGGGCTCCTCCTGCTGAGATAGGGTCTTCAGCATTTGCGGGGGCATCGAAGGGCTCTGATGGAGTCCTGAAACTGCAAAGAATGAATAATACTTTACACCAAAGGGGTAAAATCCCAAAAATTATATTTTGAAAAGCCCTTTAGTACCTTGTAAACCTCTCAAAACATCAAAAGCACCTTACAATTGCCATCAAAATTAAAAAAATCTAATTTCAATCCCCAATCCCACTTACCCGCTCGATTCTGCTGAGAATTTGGCTCGTTGATTTGCGGGGCCAATGGGGTCACCGATCGCTCCTGACTGGAGTGATTCGGTGATAACTGAACCGAGTCCGGATCTGCTGGCGGATGGGGTGTGGTGGAGCCGGGATGACCTCCAATGATGGGCAAAGTTGAGTTGGAAGAGGTGGTGTTGCCTCCAGTTGTGGATTCGGACTGTTCGTCCTCGTCTTCCTTGATGGAGGGCTCACGAGGGGCGTGTGAGACCGAGCCCGACTTCTGCAAATTACATGCCATCTGCGCGGAAAGAAATTTCGGTAAGAAATAAGTAAAAAAACATATATTTTAAGGTCGGAAAATTGCCAAAAAAAAACTCTTCTGTCCCGTCTTACCCTGTCGACTGTAAGATCCCTCAAAATTATCCCCTTCTTACCTGCAGAGCAGCCACATTCACCGACGGTATTGTCGCCGGCGGATTCTGTTGAATCTGATTGGCTTTTGCGGCCAGCTTCGCCGAGTTTGGGACTTGATTCGGTAGAGCGTCGCGAAGTTGATTCATCGGGAACCAGTTGGTGGTGCGGGCCGAGCTCGATCCATTCGAGTTGGTTTCAGCGGGGCGGACAAATTGCATTCCCTTGTTCATGGGGACACGGCCTGGGGCCGAGCCCTTGCGCGCCGCCGATGCGTTGATCGTGTGGCCGGCGCTGGGGCGTTGGCTGGGCGCTGGGACGGGATGATAACCTATAATAATTTTATTAATTTTTTCGAAAAAAAATAATGTTACATATAGCAAAGTAAACGGTCGTATAAGAGAAAAAAGTCCAAATTGATGTCCAAAAAATGGTAAGAGGGGCTACAGTGGGGACCTGATCCAGTGGCAAAAAACGTACCATTTTGCATCCGGGAAGCATCAAAAATATGGCAAAATGCTTCCCTCTCCAAGTGAAAAAAACTCAAATTTCAAAAGCGCGCCCATTCTTTTTTTTGTGAGGGAAAGGGCGCGCCCGTCAAAAAGGGGATTTTCAAGTCTGAGAGGGAGGCATTTTGCCACATTTTTGATACTTCACGGATGTAAAATCATGCGTTTTTTGCCACTGGATCGGCTCCTTCACTGTAGGTAAACGAATCTGGCAAGAAAAAAAAAGGTTTTCATTTTTTGCTTCAAAAATTCAGCAATTTTTCCCCCAAAAGCTATTCAGCGATCCCCCTGCAATTGGCAAAAAAAATTATTAAAAATCCCCAATTTTTTTTATCAATCTCCTACCTGAATGTGGAGTCTGCACCGACAAAGCCGGCGCTCTTCCCGCACTGAACGGGGCATTCCGCAAGACAACTCCGGCCGGCGCAATGGCACTTGGGGCTACAGCTGCCGGCACACCTCCCAGCCTTTGGCCAGGGATCGGATTGGGGACATGGAAGGTTGGTTGGTTGCCGGAGGTCGCTCCTTCTGCGTGTGACTGTCGTCGGGCCTGTTTCGACTGGACTTGGGCCGAATATGAGCGGTTTTGGTACTTGGATTGGGCCGAATTTCCGCCGCTGCTTTGGCTTAGCGGATTCGAGTCCACTCCTTGTTGGTTTTGGGGAACGGTGCCGGGCAGCGGAGTCTCGAGGTCTTGTTTGGAAGCCTTCAGCATTAGATATGTGGCATGAACTTCCTCGAATCGCTCTCGGTCCAGGGCGTCGTTGATGGTCTGCGAGCTGTACCCCAAACTCTTCAAGACTTGGATGATCTTCTCATCGCGCTGGTCCTTGGTTGGCTCAATGTAGGGCTTCAATTCGTCGTCTTCATATCCCATATTCATCCATCTGCAAAAAAAACTTTACAAATCCGATTTTTCGAAGGTACAGTAGGTCGTCATGGATAATATAAAAATTTTGCCTTCACCAAAAAGATAATGGAACCAGTGCTTATTGAAGTCATAAACTCCGTCTTGAATTCAAATATTGAAAAAAAATCAAAAAAGTACAAAATTTTTTAAAATTTTTTCAAAGACGCCGATTATGACCCAAATTACGAACCAAAAATGACAACCACCACTGTGTGCCAAGTTACATCGAGAAAATGAGGAGTAAAACCAAACCCGGACCTATCCCGCATGATTTGCTCGAGGGTACCACGGCGTGCCGGATTCAGAACCAAGAATTTCTTGAGCAAGTTCTCGCAATCCGTCGACATGTAGAAGGGGATTCGATATTTGCCACGAAGAACTCGTTCACGAAGCTCCTGAAATGGTGAAGATTAGCAAAGACTTCATAGGCCATAAATATAACAAAAAACATTCTAATTAGTTAAAAAAAAACAAACCTTCAAATTCTGGCCGTCGAATGGAAGAGATCCGGAGACCAAGGTGTACAAAATAACGCCTAATGACCAGACATCAACTTCGGGACCATCGTACTTCTTTCCTTGGAACAATTCAGGGGCCGCGTAGGGAGGGCTGCCGCAAAATGTGTCTAATTTTGTACCTAAAACCAGAAATTATATTGTTTTAGCTGCTGGGACCGATAAGATAAATTAAAGTGCTTTGAAAAAACTAGAGCTCGACCATCTGTTAAATTTAGTACAAATCTTTGCAACACTTCTAAGATGAAGTCTAAAAATTAAGGGACATTCTTGGCAGCTGCCAACGACAAAACGGGAAAAATAAACTTTTTAGGTATCAAAGCCTCAAAACTCAACGAAAAAATATTCTATTGGTACGCTTAACAACTTCTAGTCTCGCCCCAAACCTCATCAAAATCTGAGAGCCGAAGCAAAAACCCTAAAAACCGAAAAAAATCAACAAAATCCAACTTACCCGCACTGAACTGATTGCTGAACCCAAAATCGGCAATCTTGATGTTCATGTCCGCATCCAACAGCAAATTCTCGGCTTTCAGATCACGATGAATGATGTTCTTTGAGTGCAGGTACTGCACAGCCGAAACAATCTGTCGGAACTTTGCTCGAGCCTCCTTCTCCTTCATTCGGCCATGTGCAACAAGGTAGTCGAAAACTTCTCCGCCGGAGGCGTATTCCATAACCAAATACAGAGTCTGGTCAGTCTCCATGACTTGGTAGAGCTTTACAATGTTGGGATGATCCAACTGTTTCATTATTCGCACCTCACGGAAGAGTTTTTGAAGACTCGAGGGGTTTAGGGCAGTTTTGTCGATAATTTTGATCGCAACATCAATCCCCGTTGGAATATGACGTGCTAGCTTTACCTGAAATTTGTAGAATCAGTAACAGAAAGTTTGGCCCACTTTTGACTGATTGAGATCTTATTTTCTCTAATTTTTTGAGCTTATTTTAATTACATCTCGTCTGCGGATGAATAACACCTTCTAAAAGCAAAAAACACAAAAATAAAAAGTCAACTTACTTTCGCAAAATTTCCTTTGCCAATTGTTTTGAGAAGCCGATAACGCCCAATGTGTGGCTCATCCGCTGCCCGCGACCGGGAGGACATCATTCTGGAAGACGAGGACGACGAACTCATGCCTTTGGAAGACGAATTTGGTCCGCTCGCCGCTCCATGATGATGGTGATGATGATGGTGTGACGATTGTGAAGCGCTGAAAAATTCTCTCGATCAGATAAGAATCGAATCAGACCGAAATTGGCTATAAAAATGGAAATTCGAAATGAAAAAGCTCTCTTTTACCTATTATACGCCGTCATAAACATTTTTACAAACTCAGACGTACATTTTCAGCGGACGCACATCGACTTTGTTCATTACAAGCGGAAAACGATCGGAAATCGAGGGGGGAAAATAATTTTTTATAGCTTCATGATGCACGGAAGCGCGTCCCGAAGCGAAAAAAATAAATGCCAAATTTTTGTGGCATTCTGTTCAATTTTTGGGGACAAGAAAACAAGTTTTTGATGCGTAATTTGGCTTCTTTTGGGTTGAATACGATCGAAAAGGAGAGTCTAGCTCACCTTGGGATTCCTCGGACATCAAATTTGTGATGTGCACCTTCTCCACCCCCACTTCTATGGGGTATCTGCGAATGCACGGCCGGCTGATGATGTCGATCATTGCCCGACTGCTGACTGGATCCAGTCGACGAGGTAGACTGTGTGGTAGTCAGTGTTGGGGCCGTGGTCGAGCTGGTTGTGCATGGTGGAGCTGCCTGAGTGGGCGGAGTGGGGGCGGTGGGCGAGGCCGGCGGAGGGCTGGCCTGGACGGCCGCCGGCGACACCACCGTGCTCGATGACGTCGTAATTGCTGCCGGTTGGGAGGCGACCTGAGTTGCCGTGGTTGCGGATGTGGGGCCGACGTGCGGCGCGATCTGCTCCTTGTCTTCGTTGGCGCTGTCGCCCGCGAGAAGATCTTCGCCTACCCGTTCGTCCGGTGCGCGTTGGTCGCCGCGCTGGTCCGTCTTGGAGAACACGCTCTTCGGGTCGTCAGCAAGATCGGCGGGATCGTCGGGCTCGTCGTGTTCTTTCCGCTTCTCGTCCGTCTTTTCGTTGTTGTTGGCGGCGTCGAAGGAGGTCGCGACGACAGCCGGCTGGTGCGCCTGCAGCGGCGCGACGCGTTGCACAGATGTCGCCGTTGTGGCGGCCGGCTCCGGGGGGCTTCTGACCAAGAGGTCAGACCGTTCGGGGTTGAAGCTGAAGGCAGTGCCAAATTGCACTCGATCTTGTAGATGAACAGGATTGTTATCTACAAGATTGATTCAAATCGAAATGGGAACCAAGTCGAAGACCTGAACGAACAGAAAGGTCCCAAGTTCAAGGAGGCACACCGTTTTGCTCTTTAGGAGACTCCACGCTGAAAAATAGAGACGATTTTACTGGGAAATATTACGAAAAAGCGCGGCCATCGATCATCGCGTGTTTCGAACGGGTTCCAACCGCTTTCGGACCGCGGGTCATAATAACTTGCGGTCGAAAGAAGACCTTTAATAATCAAACTGGACTTTCGAGTTTCCAGACAACCGTTAAGATCATACAGTAGGGGACCTGATCCAGTGTCAAAAAACGTAAAATTTTGCATCCGAAGTATCAAAAATGTGGCAAAATACTTCCCTCTCCCGGTGAAAAAACTCGGCTTTCAAAACGAAGTTTTTTCGCTTGGAGAGGGAAGAATTTTGCCACATTTTTGATGCTTCCCGGATACAAAATTTTACGTTTTTTGCCACTGGATCGGGTCCTTCACTGCAGGTAAATCTGGCAAGAAAAAAAAGGTTTTCATTTTTTGCTTCAAAAATTCAGCAATTTTTCCCCCAAAAGCTATTCAGCGACCTTGCGGAATAGGGAATTGGAGACTAAAAGATCATAAAATCAATGCTTTCTGTACGTCGAGAGATCTAAATTCATTTCGATTGTTTCCGAAAAAGAACGGGCGAAAGGGATTGATTCAGGAAGGTCTGATGATTCATTTATTATTCCTTGACTCGCAGACCGTCAAATACAAAGCTGTCCGAATCGCAAAAATTAGTCGTAAACTGCGCAAATCCGGCCCCAAAAGTTTTGAGAAATAAATCCCAAAATCTGTGTGCCCTTCGGGGGGAGAGTTGTTTGTCCCGAGATTCACCCGAAACTCACCCCTCGGTTTACGGCCGCACTATAAAAGTTCAATACGTTTAATGCTCAAAACAAAGCATCCGTTTCGGAATTTAGGGGCTTTTGAGATGATAATCTGAGGTTTGGACGTCTCTGGCAATAAAAATGGCAAAAAGACTGGGAATGGGGAGATAATTTGGGATGTAAACAAGAGAAGGGGCGCTAAAGTTCAAGGGTTAGTCGAAGTTTTTTTCAAATCGTTCTGATAAAAAATGGTTTTCCTGGCTCTTTACAGAAAGCACTGAAAAAAAAGGGATTTTCATGCGAAAGATTGTGAAAAATTAGGAGAGATGGCCAGAGATAATGGCGAGGATCGAATTTTGATGACTTTCTTCGAAAATCATCACAATTCCTAAACTTCTACTTGCAAAATCTAGTAAATAGGCATCCCAAAACCCTCCTCAAGTGAGAAGAAATCGATCTTAGCGTGCAGAAAAACCGGCTGAACATGTAAATACAATGCAAACAATAAAAAACAGAGCGTTTAACGTCGTACAAAAAACACTCCAAAAGTCGGCGGATCCGTGGGATATAAAATGTGGGGTAATTGCGACACAATGATTCGAGAGAGAGAGAGCTGCCCTTGGGCAAGCGCGTAGGGAAGTGGAAAGCCGAGAGAAGGCGCAGAGACCGCACAGTTGTTGGGCCGTTCCGATTGGCCCAGACGGGTCGAGGAAATGGACCCCGGGGGCATTCGAATCAAAACAAAAGATCTGATCCGTGTTTGTTGAGTTAGAGAGGGGAGATTTGCGGGTTTGGCAGGGAGTGCAAATAATGAAAGGTTTGAGGGTACCGGAAGGAGACAAAATTGAAATTTAGACGGGAGGGTTTGGGAGAAAAGCAAAAAAATTGAGGAGGAAAGCGAGGGTTCTGTTCGTTATATTGTGTTGAAAGCTGCTAAAATGTTACAGTCGGCCTAAAAATCCAGACCTCAGCAAATAACAAGCTAAAGTTTGCGCATATTTCATGAAAATCCTACCCTACAGTGGGGGACCTGATCCAGTGCCGAAAAACGTACTATTTTGCATCCGGGAAGTATCAAAAATGTGGCAAAATGCTTCCCTTTCCAAATGAAAAAACTTCGTTCGTGCCCTTTCCCTCACAAAAAAACGGGCGCGCTTTTGAAATCTGGGTTTTTCACTTGGAGAGGGAAGCGTTTTGTCATATTTTTGATGAGTCCCGGGTGCAAAATGGTACGTTTTTTTGCCACTCGATCAGACCCCCCACTGTAGGGTAGGATTTTCATGACATATGCGCAAGTTTTAGCTTGTTATTTGCTGAGGTCTGGATTTTTAGGCCGAAAATAGCAAAAACTTTTCACATCGGAAATATCGGCTCTGCTTGCAAAGCGTGAGCAAAATTTTTTGAGATTTATAAGGCTTCTAGTTATAAAAAAGTATAAAGAATGTACAGAAAAACGAAGGGCCAAACTTGTGGTACCGCATTTATAAATTTTCACCCCAAAAGACTCAAAAAGTCCCCCAATTTTCGGTCAAAATCAACCAAAGTAGCCCCCCCCCAAAAATTAGGTAGTGAAAAAGGGTTGATATGATATAGCGGCTCCCCCCATCTTTTCTCAGCCCCGAAGCAAAACGGAGTTGAAAGCGAAGGGGGGTTCGCTGAAAAGGTATTGGCTGGGAAATAATATCAAAAAGACGAAAAAAGACAAAGCAAGTGAGCGGCTGGCTCGGAGAGAGAGGGGAGAGAGGACATCCCATGCCGTCATCATTTTGCTTCGTCTTCTTCTCCGTCTTCTTCGAGAGAGAGGTGTACACTCAAACCGTCACGAAAGAAAGCTGGGGCGGTTCAAAAACTTGAGCAAATTAATGAAAATGTCGGACGAGCAGCCTAATGGGAAAGACGTTCGGGTTTGGAGCGGCCGGTGACGAAGTTTTAGAGGTTTCGTGAAGGAAAGTGATGCTATGAGAAAACGTGCGGTTGAAACCGAGCATGTTTTAAAAGGGCATACTCTCACTAGACCAAAAGTCAATTTTTGAAAGATTTAGCCCGTGCTTTGCACGTGTAGCCATAATATTCAACGATTATTGGCGAGAGAATACGCAGAATAAGTATACAGTGACGGACCCGATACAGTGGCAAAGAACGTACCATTTTGCATCCGGGAAGTATCAAAAATGTGGCAAAATGTTTCCCTCTCCAAGTGAAAAAACTTCGTTTTTGAAATCGCAGTTTTTTCGCTTGGAGAGGGAAGCATTTTGCCACATTTTTGATACTTTCCGGTTGCAAAATGGTACGTTTTTTGCCAGTAATGCTGGCAAAAAATTAGCCGGTTTGGGACTTACATTGGGCAAAAGAATTGGGTAAATGTTGAAAAAAGTGGATAGGCAGGTTAGGGGATATTTTTGAACCTAATTCTTAGCAACAACCCCAAAAAATTGTTTAGTTATGCAACGCCGGCGTAGTTTGAGTCCGTAGAAGAGTCTAAAAAGAGGTCAGCATGGCTCCAAATTTGATTTCAAACAGTAACAGAGGTATCACAAGATTGGTAGTTTTTACGATATAAGATCAAGAATCTTTAAAAAGTAGCCTTTGTCTGTCTCCGCGATACTCTTTGAAATCACATTTAATTCCCCAATTCTGTCGCCCAATAAAAGTCCCAGACAAGGCCCTATAAAATTTGCGTAAACAACGACTCACGTCGAGTGTCCCTGGAATTCGAAAAACACGGAAAATGCAAAACATTCGCGCAAAACAAAATATTCAGCAGGAACATTCAGACGTCAGAAAAGTTATGTAGAGCAAAAAGTGCTTCAGCGGGATGACTAATGGATTGGTGCTTGAAAAGGGCAGAGTGATTTTTGCTTTTAAAAAAAACTTGATATAGGAGGAAAAGCGTCTTATAACAAACCCACAATTCATTGGGAACAAACATTTGTTGTCTTTACAGTTTATTTATTGCATTGAGATTTGCGAAAAAAAAATTTTTTTTTCTAAACATAATTCCCCGTTATTTTCTCAAAGTCCGTCCCCATCAGATTCATTCTTCTTTGCTCTTTGCCCTCGGGCCAAAAGTCTGTTCCGTTCGGACCGCTCTTTAATATAAAAGTAGTTATAATAACAAGATGGAAGAGTGCAGCGAAGAAACGGTTTTATGATCGAGGAGGAGAAGGGGAGTTAGCTGTTTTTTGGGGCGAAAATAAAAATTATTTTTTTTTGCCTTTGTACTATTATATACTATATAACGGAGCAGCCATTCCTCGGGCATTGGGAAAAGTGAGGACTGAAAATTGATTTGTGATAGAGTTTTAGTGATGTTTGATGTGCTTTCTTATAAGATAGAGGACGGAAGATCGATAATTATGACATCAACAACTACCTTAATATGGAAAAAATCTCGTCTTTTGAAGAAAAGAAATTTTGGGATACCTTTTGAGTCTTTTTTTGAGACTCAAATGGAGAAAAGAGCAAACAAACAAATGATTTCAGAAAACGCGTTTCGAAATAAAAGCATCCATTGGCCAAAAATTATGGAGTAAAATGCTCAGGTATCCACACTCGGAGTCATCTGCAAAATAACCGAATTAAAATTTGAAAACAAAATAAACCGCGATAAAAATGTCAACGACAAAAATTTACGAAAAATAAGGGGATAATAGGAAAAAAACGCAATCAATCAATATATTCTCTCAGGATGACTCTTTTCCATACAAAAAATCAAAAAAAAATCATTTTTTTTTGGCATTTTTCGACCTAAACGGCGATATCTGCAAAAGGCAAACTAACAATAAGACGTTCGCGAAAGCCTTGGTAAGCTTTAGCCGAAATTCTCCCAGGCTTCATAAAAATTTGTGACCCAAAACTTGAGCCTTCTCCCAATCCGTCAAAACTTTGCGGAACAAAAAATTTGAATTGTTTTAGTACAATTTAATCCTCTTACGGCCGGAAAACCCCGAACTCACGTCAACAACGTGAGTCAGAAGGACTGTTCTTTCAGGAATTGAAATTTTGAATGGCTTTGAGAAGACGGTTAAAACCGAATGACAAACAGGCTATTTTTGTTTTCGAGACGGTCGCTAAATGATACGTTCATTGTGCTGCGTTAGGAAATCGTCTCAGCCAGTCTTGTGCAGTAATAAATTTACTGAAAAAGCCTTTTTTTAAGGTAGAATTGCCATGTAATTAAGGCCTCAAAAAAGCAAAAAAAGCTTTATCGCGGCCTTTGATTCAAATCAAGGATTTTCAAAATGCAAATTTCTCGAAGAACAACGCACGTCAAACTGAGATAAGCTAAAACAGTCCGGTGAATGGATTGGCAATTTGCCAAAAAAAGACGCGAAAAAACGTTTTGTCGGGGGAGAAATGGGGAATTTTTGGGGCGAGAGAGTACGTTTTTACGTGTCATTTTTTCTCTCTTTCTCTGCGAAATAGACGAAGTGTAAAAAACCGATAGCGAAGTGTCTACTCCAGTCACCGGACTCCTCAGTTTGACGTGCAACGCTCCTGTTTTCTTGAAAATTTGCCTGCTTGCTACGACTAGGTTACTTCTCAAATCTTCAAAATTTTAGTTTGCTATGTGCCGTTGCAGCCGAGATACTCAACGATCTTTGTCGAGTACATAAAACAAGTATTGGTTAGTCTAAAATACAAATTTCGCAAAGTGCGAGGCAGGAAATGTTTACTAAATTTTGTCTACTTGTAGTGTCTAGAGCACAAAACAATCGCTAAAGACCTTAGCTTGCACTTTTTAGTTAGAGCCAAGATATTCAGCGATCTTTGCGTACGGCATGCGAAATTAACAGGCCAGAGACAAAAGATGTTCCGGTCGTATCTTTATGAATTCTACAGGCTAAAAATCTTGCATATGCCTTAGAAACTTGTCCTCTGGATTAGCCTCAAGTTTCTACAAAATGTAACGGTTGTTCAGAGCAATTCAATAGCTTTTTCTTTGTAAATTTATTGGTGTTTCCCCCAAAAAATGCATTCAGAAAGGATCGGACTATCCGGCCCATTCCACAAACAACGTTTCCGGCTACAAAAAAGTAATCAGCAGATTAGGGGAAGGGTGCACCGAATGTCCTGAGAAGCGCTGACTTGTGATATCCGTTTAATCCGTTTGACAAAAAATTCGAAAAAAAGGTCGGAGATATCACGAATTTTTGTTTTTTCCGAACGATAATGTGATATCATCAATAAGCCGAGAGCTAAATTAAAATGTTGCGAAGGGTTTTTTCAGAGACGGAGTGAAAAAGTAAAAAAATTAAGAAAAGTGAGAAAATCTTAAAAAACGAAGACGGATGTTTATGTTGTCTTCGCACGTATGACAATAAGTCTTCGAGGCAATGGCTTCGTCTAACATATTGCGAATGACGTTAAAGAGGCCCAACATATGTTAAATTTATATGGAAAATAGGCCATGACGACAATCTGGAAGGCCCAAAATCTTGCGTAAAATTTTGCTAAAAGTGCGATCTCATATTTTTTTAAAATTTTGCATGCTCGTTGAGTCTAGGCCATATACGAAATCCTGGAAATTTTATATCAAATCCTAAAAATTTCGATAATTTCAGGCCTTAAAGTCTCCACTCCAAAATTCTTTTGGGGCATTTCCCCCGCAGAACTACGTTGTAAAGAGACCAGAAATAATTTTCTGATAACAAATATTTATGCAATTTCCGGCTGTCTCGCGCCTTTCGAAAAATGATTCATAAAGGCCTAGTCCCCACAGACAAGTCG